AAGTCCATTATAAAGGCTGAGAAAGCCACTAGGGAGATATTCTGAGTTTCTGATTGGTTATTCATGTCATATATAGAAGTAAGTGTATATATATCATATATTAGTGTAACTGAATACCTCAACTACATCTATATGATGTCAGTAAGAAACAAATCCATTTATAAAGTGTTAAACTAGATAAAGGCAGTTTATCAAGGTTAATAAATTTTATGAAGCAGCTGATGAAGTATAAATAAAGTATATGAAAGTTGACAGGTGGACAAACTACATAACAAAGGTAGCTGACAAGGCTAACAAGTCACATTAGGATATTTCACCAAGTTGACAAACTAGGTAAGGCAACTGATCAAGTTTACTAACTAATTAAGACAGCTGAACACATTATAAAACTCCTAAAAACATAATTAACCAGGTTAGAATAAGTTTAAGTAAACAGTTAATTATCATTTTTATAACTCGTACTGTTTGTTTAAGCCCATTATTTGTTGCCAAATAGGTTACATTTTAGAATTTGTAATGTGCTTAAACATGTGTATGTACCTGAAAAAAACACTTACTTACAAATGAGGGCTCAAAGATTAATAAGATATTTTTAATACTTTATTGCTTTTGTGGAAAAAGATAATTAAAAAAAGAGAGTCAGATTTTAGAGGAAATTAAAAACTATTCCATATTTTGATACATTCCCCATCAGAATATTTCTTAACAATGATAACCAATTAACAGAAAAAAAATTATATATATAAATAATAAAATCTTGTTATCTTCGAACCAAAATTTAAGGATTGACTACCACACCCTCAAGAGAGGAGTCTCTACAGCATAACCAAATGCTAACATTGAGCAGTAATCATTCCTTGCCAGTTGAAAAAAAAACTTTACAGAGTTCATATTTTCGAACAAAATATCAAGGGTTGACCTCTGTACCTTTAGTTCTGAAGAGATGGAACTACAAAGATAAATGGACACCACCAAAATCACCTTACAATCTTGTACAGGAGAGTTTGTACCATGACCCGTGGAAGTTATTGGTGTCAACAATTTTTCTACAGAGAACTACTGGTAGGTTAAAAGAACTAGTTATTGTGTATGTTTATTGAAACAAAATTTGCTTTCTCCAGTTGTACTTTAAATCTACATCTGGGTTTAAGTTTTTCCATCAACTTGTATGAAAGTAATGTTGAAATTGTATTTGTATTTTAAGAACTTTTATGCATACAATTTTAATGATACATGCTGAGGAAGTATAATTTGGTGAGTAACTTTGAGAAATCACTTGAAATAATTTTGTGGTGGATTTGAACAATAATTTTTGGGAATTATTAGTTTCAATAATACTATTAAACGCACAACGTGAGACTGAAAAGGATGCTTGAATGCATGAATTTTAAAGATAACATTTCCAGAGCATGTCATTTTAAAGTTTGATATTTAGCAATGTGCATGAGAGTTTACTTGGAAATCTATGTTTTATAATTGTTTAAAATCTTGGTTTTTTGATGTTACTGATTGTTCCAAAGACATGTTGAAATTTAAATGTATTCCAAGATTATAATATTGATATATCAAATACAAGTTAATAAAACTTGTTCATGAGAGTTTAAGTTCTGGACTATAGCAAATTTTTTAAACATAAAACAGTTCTTTCAAAATTATTTGTTATAAGATAACAGTAGAGAAGCCCTTTTTTGTGATAAATTGTATAATTCCTTCATTTAGGAAGATCAGCTATTCCAATTCTATGGCAATTTTTTGACAAATATCCATTAGCTGAAGATGCATGTAAAGCAGATTGGAAAGACTTAGCACATATTTTAAAACCTTTAGGGCTCCATGAAAAGAGAGCAAAGATCATCATTAGGTTTTCAAGTAAGCATTTTAGATTAATCTGTTTATAACTGAGATTGTTTAAAATTTCTTGGGAATTTTCCAATAAAGTTTTTGAAATTTTCATTATTGCCAAATGGAACCCTTAAAAAACTAGAAGTGTGTTTCCACGGAAAAGCAAAATTCTTCAAAAGTAAAATTCCTTAATGACATACAGGAGTATGCTGTTATGGTAAGTATATTTTAAAGACCTATGTAGTGTTCTACATAGGCAAGTAAAATTCCTTAATGACATACAGGAGTATGCTGTTATGGTAAGTATATTTTAAAGACCTATGTAGTGTTCTACATAGGCAAGTAAAATTCTTTAATGACATACAGGAGTATGCTGTTATGGTAAGTATATTTTAAAGAC